TAGTATATTGTTTACAACTGTTTGATAACTAGATTTGAGGGATACTTTTAAAAACATGGTGTTTATGTATAAAATGTGTTTATAAGAATATCAATCGTTATATACTTATATCCTTATCAGAATTGATAACTCTGTAGTGGGTTGGTAGAGGTAGTGATGGCATAGTGCATAAGACGCATGCTTTTGTTGTGACCTCTGACATAAATAGCAGTTGTAAGTCGATTTGGATAAAAGTGTCAGCTAAATGAATAAATGTAAATTAGTATTGGTATCAGCCCCAAAAAATCACTATTGGTCTGTGACACGATTGTTATTTACAAGACATGAATTCTGACTGGCATTTACAACACAAATTTGCTGCACCATCAACTAATATACTGCTTTAAACATAGTCCTTTTAAGATGTGGCTACAGCAGCATAACATAAATCAATGAGACCTCCATCTAAATGAAAAGTGCACAAATGTATAAAATAAAGTAGTGAAATGAATGTATCAAAATTTAATGTGTAAAATCAATGATTTTTCTTAGAACGTCTACTCAAGACTAAAATCTATGCTGCAGTTTACTGCATTACATACATGAAACAACTTACAAGTTTATATCACTACCCAGCTATGGTTAACAGTAACATAAACAATGACATGTCATATAAACCATGCAGAGGTACAATTGACTCAAAGTTTGGTTATTGTTAATGGCTACATTGTGTCCCTGTATTTTGACTTGGTTTCAATCTGTGTTGTATACCACCTGTAACCACTCATCCTAGATCCTAGTAAGGCATAATTCATGATACAGATTAATAATAATGCTCACTTTCATTTCTTTTCCAGCTCCAGGTGTCGCCCAAATGGCCCCCGCTGCCAATCTCATGTTTCAGAAGCAAAAACACAAGCTGGAACTGGCCAAACAAACAGCAGCTCAGGAAGACATGATCATGAAGCTAACCAGGGCGAGAGATTTCTTAAAGGTTCAGTGTGTAAGATTTAGTAGCTTCTAGTGGTGAGGTTACGAATTGCAACCAACTGTCCAGTCTACCACAGCCCCCTACACTTTCAAAGAAGGTAGGACAACTACGGTGGCTGACACAGCAACAAAGGTGTTGTCTTCTGAGACAGCAGAGAGTAGCCAGTAAAGAAATTAGGTTTCTTGAGGTAGATATAGTAAGAAATTATATATATATATATAATTATATTTATAGTTATTGCGACTTGGCCACTGACAGATAACATGGAAAATGTGAGCCATGAGTGTGTAACATTGTCACTGTTTCTTCACCACAGTCCATTATAAACCACATAATAGACGAAGTTTATACAAACATTGACAAGGGAAACACATTCATTCTTTCTGTGATTATGGACCCTCACCTGAAATTTGGGCGGCTGTGGCTCAGGAGGTAGAGTGGGTTGGCCGTTAATCGGAAGGTCGGCGGTTCAATCCCTGGCTCCCCCTGGTTGCGTGTCGAAGTGTCCTTGGGCAAGATAGTGAACCCCGATTTGCCCCTGGCGGCTATTCCGCCAGTGTATGAGTGAGTGTGAATGTTAGTTTCCGTTTGAGCACTTAGGCTCAGTGTATGAATGTGTGTGACTGGTGAATGCAGATGTAGTGTAAAAGCGCTTTGAGTGGTCAAAAAGACTAGAAAGGCGCTATACAAGTACGGAGCATTTACATTTACATTTGAACTGCCCGCTAGCAATCTGGCCCACGGCCAGATTGTGGCAAAAAATAAAAGTAAATAATAATAGATCCTCAGAAATATTACACACTGGAACTTTAAGAGAGCAATTGTCTGTTATTACTGTTATTCATCAATAAACATACAGTATGTGTATTATGTCATTATAGACAGTAGGTGTTTGCAGTTTCTGTTGAGTCCAAGTCATCTCAAGTCTTTGAGCTACAGTCCAAGTCAAGTCTCAAGTGATTATAATGAATGTTGTATCACCTGCTGCGTTCCATCCAGGCTGTTTATAACACTGCATAGCTATAAGGGATTCTGTAAATGTAACCTGTTATTTACTTACAGAGCACAACAATGTAATTTGCACTGCGACAACTAATCACAGCTTATAAACTACTGTAAGTCAACACCCCAAGACTCTCAAACCAGTGTAATGTTACCTAACTAAAACTGTAACGTTACATAATCAACAATAAACCTGTAACCTGTTTGCAACCAACGTTAATAATTAACGTGATGGCAGCCAGCGGGACATCAATTATTACGTTAATCAACTACCACAAGTTTGGCAAGTAAACAAACGCTCATTCAAACGACAGTTGGACTTAACCTCTTGTAGGTCGTAGCTAAAGCAAGAAGCAAGCTAACATTAGACGGGCAATGCTGAGCTAAACAAGTTTACTAACCTCAGGTTATTAACCTGTTTTGCATTTGATGCTTCTTTGTTTGGGCCTTGTTTTATGAAGTTTTAAAGCCAAAGTTTATGATGAATGGAACAGCAGCTGCCAGGGCGGTCAACATGTTTGTTTTTTTTTCAGTTTGTTGTCCTCTCACGTGTGGCCGCACTCAGCAAATATGTAGTATATGTTACGTAGGTAGGTTATAACGCAGGGAGGGGAATAACCGCAAGCTCAGACGTTTCCTAAAAATTAACATTGTTCACGAGTCCCGCACCTCATGTCTGAGTCAAGTCTGAAGTCTTTTGAGAGCGAGTCACTGTGTGTGCAACTTAAGTGCGATTCAAGTCCAAGTCTCAAACTCAAGTCCCCATCTCTGCCATCCCCTGTCTGTCAAGTCTGCTTCTGATTCGTCTTCGTCCTCTGAGACGAGTTACTCATCCTCTGCAAACTATTCCTCAGACTCATCAAGCTCCTCAAGCTCCACATTTTTGGACGATGACAAGAAGAAGAAGAAAGGGATGAGGAAGAAGTCGACGAAAATGCACAAGGGGGACAGAAAGCAAGAGAAACACAAGGAGCTGTGTTTCAAGGTTAATCATGTAAACCTAAGAAATTAATGTCAGTAGATGTTTTTGGTTTACTGAACTAAACATACTACTGATCTAATGAATGTAAGCCTATCAGATTACTTCCTTAGTGTCTTCCAGGGTTGCCAGGTCTAAGTAACAAAACCAGGCCAATACCAGAACTCAAAATATGCCCATACTAAACCATTTACAGTGCTTTTAAAGTCCAACAGCATTGCTACTACTGCAAAATATATGATAATATAAAATAAATATTTAGTGTATCAGCATTAAAAGCTAATTTCCCAAAACAGTTCTTTCACCTAGTTCCAAAAAGACCTTGTGTAATTATACAGCCTACAGTGTATTATTAGGGCTGTCCCTGACTCAGGATTCAGTCAAATCAGATTTTTTTTCATTTTACTAAATTGCAAGATTCCTGAATGGGGTTTGGTGAGATGTTCAGGGTGACAGAGACGTTCACGTAATATAGTAAATCAGACCTCCCAGGTAATGCTTACAGCACTTACTATGGTTCGGAAATGTGCATTTTTTGCCAACACTAGATATCAAACTACATCCAGAAACTTTGTGAAGTGAAGGTTGGAGCTGAAAGTTCAGCCTTTCTAAACTGAACATAGAATTAGACTCACTCTGGTCGGGTCTGGATTTTCTCCAAGGGGACTTGACATGGTGCAAAGATTTTACTAAAGAGAGGAGCGCTCACTCTGCATCTAAAGCAGGATGAGAGAGGCAAGTGGGAAGTGGGCGTGACTGTGTGCTGCTACGGTGACAGCATTGGCACAACTTGTGTATTTGTATGCGTGCTTGTGACGTGTGTATGTGCTGATATTGCCTAGAGTCAGTTTGATAAGATTTTGAACATAATTTAATTTAAAACATGGACCTTTATTCGTAGATATTATTAATGTAATTTGCAGAATAGATTGTCTTAAGCCCAATTCGCACATTATATAGATAATGTAATAAGATTTAAATTTGTTCTAAAATAAAGCCACACCCTTTGTTTTACAGAGCAGATCCTTGTAAGAAGTTATATTAGATAGTGCAGTAGTGTTGTCAAAATATTTAAAATATCTATTATAATAATATATATATATATATATATATATATATATATATATATATATATATATATATATATATATATATATATATATATATATATATATATATATATATATTTTTGATTCAGTTTTTGAAGTATCAGAACAGAAATAACTGTGTAAATGCCAAAAGAGAAAGACATTTTCTGTGGCCCAATTTTTGCAAGCAAGCTGGGAAACAGTTGCTGCTATGCTGGGCTAGGATTGGGACTGAATGTTATGAGTTGTATTTCTTCCCCTGTGGGTTATGGGTTTTGCCATTGTTTCATGTGTCCTGTTTGCCTCTGTTTCTCTCATTTAGTTCATGTTTAGTGTCATTCCTGGTCTGTGCACTTCTGTATCATTTTGTCCATGTTTGTGCTGTGTTCTGTTTAATCTTAGTTCAGTCTGTTTTCCCTGTTAGTTGTAGTTTATTGGTATATTTGTGATCTGTCTGCTTGTGTTACAGTTATCAGTTATTTATATTCTGTTTCTTCCTGGTTATTAGGTTCCATATAGCTTTATTGGTGTCTCTCTGTTTTCCCTGCTGTCTCTCTGTGTCTCGTTAGCCTCATGTCTTTCTCCTGTGTTGCTCCCACCCTAGTCATTATCCCTGGTAAATACTGTATGTGTGGTCTTTCTGTTCAGCCCTTGTCCGGTCATTGTAGCATGTATATGTTCTGTCATGTGTAGCTTTGTGCTTGTCTTGGATCTGTACCCGTTTGGATTACCCGTTTCATTTGGAGTGTTATTCTTTGGATGTATCGCAGCCACTCTGCCAGTAAGTGTGCTCGCCTTTTGTTTGCCACAATAAACCTTTTTGAACTGTGCCTCCTCAACTATGCGTCCTGCATTTGGGTCCACCAACCTTCTCCACACCTCAAACCACGACACTGAATAGTACATAGTACCTTTTTATTTCAGTGAGGCTAATACCAAGTTTACTTTTTTATTATCATAGCACGTGGTCCAGCAGAAGTCGTAGAACGCTACGCTAAAGTCCTGAAGACCTACTACAAAAGAAGTCAATCACTGCTGCATGCAAAAAGGTGGGAGTAGACCGCAACACAATCGCCTTAAACGCACCTAATGCTTTGCCTGCCATTGCTGCCCCAGAGAAGTATGCTGAGCTAAGGGAGCAGCATACCAGAAAGGACAAACTTGGCAATTTTGCCGGAAAATGTCCGGATTCCATTGTTATCAGTACAGACATTGGGAGGTCAGGGAAACTACTGCCACTTAGGAAGGGCAATTTTTGAGTGACTGGGAGTTTGTCTCCATTTATCTTAGTTTGTTACCATGTTACAAAAGTGCAGTGTGTTTAATATTATTTTGTAATATTCTAATGGGTATTTCTTTTTTTAATTGTAAAACTACCTCAAATTTTAAGTTGCCATTTTTATTTTATATGTAAAGTGTTACACTACATTTAAAATAAACATTTTTTATAATTTTTTTTGTGGTCAGTATCATATTGCGCTAATTGTTAATGCTTTCAGAGGCTTGTTAAAACTAAAAACAAATACTTTCCAAAGACGCTTTTCTAAAAGTGTTTTTAAGCATCATCACCAACTCCATTGTGTGTATGTTTTCCAAATGCATTATTGATTAGTAAGGAAGAGGGACCATATCTCCCCGATACTGGCTGCTCTTCACTGGTAACCAGTCAAATATAGTTGATTTTAAGGTGCTGTTTTCAGGCATTACATGGACTGGCTCCATCTTATATTTCGGATCTCCTAACATTTTATCACTCTTCCAGACCTCTCAGATCATCAAACCAATCCCTTTTAGCCATCCCACAGTCTTGTATGAAAACAAAGGGTGATTGTTCCTTTTCAGTAGTGGCCCCGAGACTGTGGAATAAACCTCCCTTGGTTATCAGATTGTCCCTTACCACTGAAACTTGTAAGTCTCGTCTTAAAATGCATTTTTATTCATTGGCATTTGAGTCTGTTTAGGGACACAACCTTATATCTACATGTTTGGGGAATGCTGCCGAATCGGCAAAATCGTGAAAAAACTGACAAAGCTATTTTAATTAACTCCTCGGAAGAGGCAAGTCCGATCGGCACCAAACTTGGCACAGACCATCTCTGGACGATGCAGACAAAAGTTAGTGGTCCTCATTTGTGGCGGCTGTGGCTCAGGAGATAGAGCAGGTACACTGTTAATCGGAAGGTCGGCGATTCAATCCCTGGCTCCCCCTGGTTGCGTGTCGAAGTGTCCTTGGGCAAGACACTGAACCCCGAATTGCCCCTGGCGGCTGTTCTGCCAGTGTATGAACGAGTGTGAATGTTAGTTTCCGTTTGAGCACTTAGGCTCAGTGTATGACTGGTGAATGCAGATGTAGTGTAAAAGCGCTTTTGCTATACAAGTACGGTGCATTTACATTTGAATATGTAGAAAAATGCGTGAGTTACACATGTACATGTCCTGTACATAGCATTCTGAACAGGAAATAGTTGCTTTTCTTCGTTTAGGTTAGTCACATTCAAACCAAACTTGGTACATTAATTCCCACTGGAGCCCTACTATTGAAATTATCCCCACAGACTCCCATGAACATACATTCATTGTATATCTCCATAACCACAAGTCCCTTTAAAATGAAACGGGTCATTAATTCATCATGGGCCCCCGACGCCATGTGCAAAATTTGATGCAATTTAGACAATAGGTGGCGCAGTTATTGCAAACTGAATGGGGCAGAAAAATCTCTTTTGAACACATGGCATTTTGATATTACACTGGGAAATAGTGTAATAGCTTTCTGTGGGTGTGTCCAATTGAAGCTTGCTCAGTATTGTCCACACTGCGTATGGCTTTTCTGCAGAGACTTTCATCACTCCGCGGGCCCACCCCGGCACCCTGCAGACAACAACGGGTTAGGCTTGCGCAGCTTCCACGGGGCGTGGGGTGCGGCTTGCGTCGGGAGGCTTGGACCCCTTACATAACCGCTTGGAGTTTTAGCTTGTCACTGTTTTCTTTTTTTGTTCCTTGTTGTTCTCACTGAAACTTTCTGACCTCTAACCCTACTCATTCTAAGTCAGTTTAGTTTCTTGTGAGAGTTACAGTATTGTGTTTTGATGGAGTTTTACACTAATTTACTAATTGACCGATTCCACCATCTTGAAACAGAGTCCAGTGGGAGGGGGTTTCCAATGCTATTCAACCACCATTTCACAGAACGCACCACGCTGTGACTGGACACAACAATAAATTTATCTTATATTTGTCTCTTTCTGTGTACTGACATTTTCTCCCTTTCTGTGTACCACTTTCAGTCTCTTCCCAGCAGCCTTTTACACTGCCTCATAGAGGGTGCTGTTGACGGACTCCTAAACATTTCTCAAACAGCCAGCCATGAACTCCCAGCAGACGGAACTTGGCCAGGAGGTGATGGAGGAGACTGATGCCCCTCCTCGTCATCGCCACAATAACCACAACAGCCGGACCCGTAACCAGGAAAAGCGCTACAGACGCTGTGAAGCCCTGGCTGGAGCAAGTGCTGGCAGCAGAGCCAGGGCACCACAGCAGCGCAGGCCACAGGAGGAGCAAGACATGGAACTGCAACATGGAGCTCAGTCTACACAGCCCCTGCAGCCCCAGCCCATTCCACGACCTGCAGTGGCACGTTATCGCAGACAGGGGGATAGCGAGGCACGGATCAGAGCCCAGCAGCAGAGGCACAGACAGAGGCAGCAGAGAGAGGCAGAGAGAGCACAACATTTAGCACAGCAACAGGAGAAGAAGCACCAAGCAGAGATGACCCAGGAAGATGACCGAGAAAGGGATGATTCAGTGCTGGCCCGCTCAGCAAGCACAGAGAGTGGCTTCCACACCCATACCGATCGTGCTGAGGGGGACGATGATCTGGTAATGATGTCTCTGGAGCCTGAAGGGCAGCCAGAGGTGGAGGATGAGGTGGGGAACTATGGAGTCCAGCTACTGCCAGAGGCAGAGGGGTACACTGAGAGTGCCGAGGCTGAACAGCAACATCTCCATCCACATACTAACTATCCTCCTCAGCACCCGCCCCTGCCACGTGACCACCCGCCTGATATCCAAAACCTGCAGAGACAGGATGAAGCAGAGGAGATGCTGAACGCTGGATACTCCAACTACATCTACACTCAAGCCCTCAGCCACTCCGGGGAAAGGGCAGACCTCTCAGCTCAGAGTTTAGATGCTAGACTTCCGGACGAAGCCTATTCTGAGCCATATGACATTTACTCACTCTCTGAGCATGTTTACGAGGAAATCTGTGATGCTCCGACATCAGTTTCATATACTGCAGACAGGCCTAAGGACACTCTCCAACAGAGGAAGGCCGGTTTTCAGCTGTTGGAAGGCCGGGCAGGAGGTGGAGACTACCATCAGCAGGAGGCGGTGGGCTCCCGCCTGCGCCACTACGATGAGCGCTCGGATGGCGAGTCTGACAGCCCAGAGAAGGAGGCGGAGTTTGCCCCGTATCCACGCACTGACAGCTGCGACCAGGAGGAAGACCTCCACTACAAAGAAAGCCTAAGCTCTCAGAGTCTTCATCATTCTGCGGAAGATACCATAGATGAAGCAAATAAACTTCTGCAGGAAGTAGAAAAACCCCAATCTGATGCTGAGAAAAACCACAAAGCTACCAACGGAGGGAAGCCACCCAGAAGACAGGCTGGGAGTCCATCAGAGGAGGCTGTAGCAGTGAGGAACAGTCAGGACAAGAGGGATGCAATATCCCTGGCCATCAAGGACATTAAAGAGGCCATAGAGGAGGTGAAGACCAGAACAGTGAGATCTCCTTACACACCTGATGAGCCCAAGGAGCCCATTTGGGTAATGAGACAGGACCTGAGCCCCACTGCAGAGTGTGACCTCCAGCCATCACTCGGGAGCGATGTAAGTACAGTAGCTCTGGCTTCTATCGATCACTTTGTAGTGGATAACATGGCTGTTAGTCATCTGTTGTTGCATGTTTTACACATTTACACAGTTACTATTTAAAGCCAACAGAGGGCATTAAGCCCAAGCCGCGTTTCCACCAAAAGTACCTGGAAATTTTAAGTCCCCAGATCTCCTTTCAAGGAACTAAAAGGTTTCCACCGTGGTCTAAAGACCTGCGAAGATTAGGCAAATTAAACAGCTGGCGTAGGCCTATACGCTGCACAAAGTGATGCACAGGCATCATTATTTGCAACCACTATGAGCAAATTTATAAATGAACATCAGATTTGATTGGAATGTAATAAAAATCTATAGGTTATGCTTGAGTATAATGAAGAGACACATGATAAAGCTTGTTACAAATTTAATAACAAACTGGATAAAGCCATCAAGTTTTTAAAAGTACTCCGGCACAGAGAAAGCAATACAAAAATAAAATTGCGACAGCTTAGAAGGTTAAAACATTTCCAGCTGACAAGAGCTGCAGATCAGCTGCAGCATCACGTTTGTGTTGCCTGAGCATCAGAGGAATGGGATTTTTAACAAGCTTTATTACCTGCTGTAATCAGCTGATCCATTTGTTTTGGAGAGGAGGAGACCATCTTCGGCTCTGTGTAAAAACTTCCCGACTGATGAAAACTTAAAACAACTTTGGACCCAGTGTTTAGCTTAACTCCACCGCTGCACGCTGGCTGCTATTTCCGAGCAATACATTTAATGCCGACATGCGATCTCAGTCCAATATTGGCGAGACTTGTGTGTGCTATGTGACTGTTGATTGTGATTTATTGGTTTGCAAACAACAGTGGAAAAGAGGAGCAGTCGTAGAAAAAACAGCTGATATGCTCAAGCCAGTAGCCTCTAGTCGCCCATTCAGAAATTCACTGCAAAGCCACACTCCCCTGAAAGTACCGGTACTTTCGGAAAGCACTACCCCCCGAGCAGGGACCTTTTAGGGTGTAAAATAAAGACCCTAGAACTAAATTTAGACGCTGGTCCCTTCGGTGAAAACGCAGTGAGTTCCTCCAAAGGTTCCTAGTTCCGGGGTATAGTTCTTCTGGTGCAAATGCGGCTCAAGGGAACGATCACCGGCCGTATGTCTACCGGACTGGGACTGGGGTTTGGAGCGTACAGGGTCAGGGAGAGCAGGTCGCTGAGTGACCAAGCGCTGCGGATGATAATCGTTCCCTCTGGCTGGATGAAGCCCGACGCTCCTGATACTACGCATTATCCATGATGATACAGAAAAATGGAAATGAATGGCAAAAATAGCATATTGTCAATATTTTAGAGACCCCAAAAACTTCACAAATCATGTTTTCAGGGGAGCTCATATCTTATTAAGGCTCCCCCGTGGTTCACACCCTGCTTGTACCATTGCATTGGTATAGTTAAAAAGATGTTTTCATAGTTTGGTAAGAGACTGCTCAAATTAGCCAACAAGACAGCGGTGCCTGACATTGTGTTGGTTGGCACTAGCAACCTGCTGGTAACTAGTTATTAATAACACTTATGATGTCCCATTAGTCTAATCCTTTTTGCCACAGTAGCATAATAAAGGAAAACATTCTTAAAATTTCTCATAATAACATAAAAGGTCTCTAACGTTGGTTTGCACCATTGCTTTGGCAAATGAACTAATATCAAAAGCGCCATATGGCTTTGTGCCCTTAATTAAATAAGTAAAATAGTATAAATAAGATATTAAATCAGTATAAATGAGTTATTTTAGGAGGTTAAAAAAGTAACTAAGTAACATTTACTCTGAGTAAATTTTAAATGAGCTGCTTTTTACACTTACTTGAGTAGATTTTTATACCGGTACTTTTACTTGTACTTAAGTAAAAGTTCATCAAAGTGACAATACTTTTACTTAAGTAGAATATTTTAGTACTCTTTCCACCTCTGCTTTTACAGCCATTAAAAATTAACTCCTTACAGTGTTACTTACTGAGAAAAGTACTTTTGTGTTACCAAAAAAGGTAACCCCTTTGTGGTTCTTGCACATGTTTGTTATATTGTTCAGAGGGCGCATAGCCAACTGTAGGTTTACCTTTGAATGTACTGACTCTACCGTCTGCATAGTCTCATCTATAGCCCATAATCTGTAACACTGCAGGCTAATAACAGGAATGACAATATCTCCTTTGCAGCTCAATTATGTTTGGTTACATGTTAACATATATCAAGAAGGTACCGGGGATCAATGCATATAACCTAACAAGTTCATACAACATGTAACTACTTTGCAATTCAACTGTAAGTACATAAAGTGCATAAAAGTAAATAGAAACCGTCGTGATTGTTTTGTCAGCGCCTCCAGATTCTGCTGTGCAAGATGACGGTGCCCTGGCTAAGGATAGCTGTGAGAGAGAAACTCTCCATGCTGTAGACGAGCTAGTGGCACAACCAGCCTTGGGTGTTGATTTCAAGGTCGGGGGCCAGTTACTCTTCCTCGTTTTGACCCCTTGTCTCCGGGTTCTTCAGGGTCTCAAGATGAGGCTCAGTTGAAGGTACGCCTAGCTCGTCTCAGTCTGGAAGCTCAAGAAAAGGCACAGGATCGTCAAGCACAGCTTGAGTTCCACCTGTAAAGTCAAACAACTGGAAATAGAAGCAGACAAAGCTGTGGGTCCAGAGCTTGATTCACAAAAGAGAGAAAGCTCAGGCAGTCCATGTTACAGCATGCACTCCCTCCACCTCCTCACCAGACTTGTTTGACATCAGTAAACATATAGCCCAAGTTTCCACAAACTGAGATGGTTCATATTTCAGCACTTTGAGCGTGGTGTGTGGCCTTTACTGTTACAGTGCAGAATCCATGTGAAAGCTCAGGAGGTGGCGTCAGCGCTCCCTCAACATGATTGTTGAGATTATGACACTGTGAAGGCCAGTTATATGCTTATATGCCATTTATATGCGATACACATATTTTAACCTCGGTACCCCGTCCCCACTCTTCCTCTGCATCTGCATGCAATCCCCCTCTAGCTCACAAATTCTCTTGATTGAAAAGTACGTACACACAGAAATATCCACATGTATAAAACCAGGCGTACACCAGGTCCTGCACACCTTTCCTTTTATACATCTGAATCAACATGAAAGTGAGCGCACATGCACGAGCCACATACACCGCTTTGGCTCCTTCCATAAATTACTATGCAAATGACCATAAATACGCCAGCGTCACCTCCTGAGGTCCAAATAACAACATTTGAGCTCTGCATCAGCAACAAACGCAAAACGACGGAGTAGCAGAGTGTCACAAAGGCAGTCAGTGCAGCTCAGAGACTCATACTGGCGGAAATAAAGAAAACATGATCTGACATTAAGTGGATGTCAAAAAAGACACAGAAATACATGTGTTTGTGAGGTGGAAGAAAGCACATGTTGTTTGATGCAGCTTGATCACAAACAAAAGAAGACTCCCAGAGTTTCATAGAATTAAAATATTGTAAACAAAGACTTTTGGTAGAAAGGTAAACACTGTATATTGTTGATCCCATCAGACACACACCTGTCGGCTCCCGCTGCCAACAGCCGACTGCCAGAAACAGCGGTTATAGCCTACTTACATTTGTACCTGGATGGAACGGTTCCGCCGGATTGGTCTGTCAAATGCTGGACCCACTTCAGCACACAGATCCAAGAACACGACTCTAGGGAATCTGAATCGAGGTATTAGCCAGTCATCCTCATGGGCCAGGAAGTCTTCATGGACACTCGCTAATCCTTCTACTCGAGTTTTCCTCTGCAGTGCCGAGGACTGGCAATTGTGCGAAAGCTGTCACTGGCTTTATTTCCAGACAGTCCATCTGAAGATATGCCGGGTGAGTCGAGGTGAGAATGCAGATCTGTTTGTGCGCCACCACGGCATCTCTGTGCTCCTGACAGCAGCACTGCGGTTTTACACACGAAAACTAAACTGAAAACTAAATATGCATAGACGATTTTATTATAAACTGCTGACGCTCTCTTCTGCACTTCTTTAATGTTATTTGATGTTATCTTGCTGCGATGGACTGGCGACCTGTCCAGGGTGTACCCCGCCTTTCGCCAGATGTAAGCTGGGATTGGCTCCAGCCCCCCGCGCACCTGTACGCAGGATAAGCGGTTGATAATGGATGGATGGATGGATGGATATTATCTCGGATTTTTACGATGATGTTAATTCCATCAGTTAGCCAAGTTAATCAGAATCAGAATCAGCTTACTTCCAGGTATGTGCCAGGTACATGCAAGTGACTTTGACTCTGGATTGTACAATGCTCAGGATGTGCTTGCTTACAATAATACAATAACACCTTAATACAGTAATAAAATCAAACACAGGCTACCGTATAGAGAACACATATGTAAACAAAACAAAATAGACAGAATAAAAGTGTAATATCGGGGAGAGGCGAGCCTGCATCCTGCCGCCTGACATTATCCTGGCTTTAGGATGGCAGGTTCATAGCTGACCACACTCAGGCCCTCTTCTCTGCGCTTCGGGGGTTCCAACACATTCTCATCTCAATGCTCTGCAACGCTTTCAGACAGCGTGAAAAAGCGTAAGGATTTTACACTAAAGGTACCCTTCAGCGTCCGTATGAAACACCCCCGTTTGCTACGTTGCTGCAACACAAGGGAGGCTAACCCTACCTGTTAGTACATCAGCCTTGAGGCCGATGTGCGCAACTGTAGGGTTAGCCAGTCGACATGCATAAATTCAGTGACTTAGGTTAGGACTAACATTTCTGATGGTTGTGGTAAGGGTAGGGGCTTCGGGGTGCTGTCTTTCTCAAATCGTTGGTACATTGATTTAAGATTTGGCACTAATTTGGCTTATTTCTTTTACAATTGAAAGGTGCAGTACGGAACAGTCATGGCTCACTAGCGCGAGCACAAATAACACTGCTGCTTTGAATGTTTAAATGATAAAGTGTGATATGAAGTGAAATTAAATATGTGAG